AAATAAACTCCGGTAATACTTGGACACTAAGCTAGCATTTACCTTGTGCTTGCTGAATGCTTTGTGCTGTGTTTTTCGTGCATTAACCCACATTTGATTTCAGAACTCTCTGAAGTAGGTATTAGTAGGAGTATTTCCATTTTACAAATGAGAAAATGCGAAGCTCACAGAAACTGAATAATGAGCCCAAAACTATGGCCAGTAAGAGACACAGGGACCAGAACCAAGTCATTTTTAACCCAAAGCTGGATACTCTTAACCATAAACCGTACCATGTGTGGCCAGACTGGGCCACCCAGAAGTGTTACGGCTCCCTTTCAGTGACTGTGACTCTTCAAGCATTTATTGTGTTAAACGTACTCCATGAAAATTGGTTCAGGAGTCAGAAGGTTTGGGTTCCAGGCGTTGCCTGGTCACATGCTACTTAGTGGAACTGTAGCAAATGACCTGATTGATCTTTGTCTCAGGTTCCTCATCTACAAATAATGCTAAGGCGTTGTCTGCCTTTTTTATTCTCATTCTCTCACAATCCTGCAGTAGAGTTTTTCAGGGGCTATGTAACATGTTGAAAACAGTAGCAAGTATAATAATCTAACAGTCTTCTGTTAAATAGACATTAAAGAGATGTGCAAAAATCTTAGAAAAAGTGCCATCCTTCTCATTAATTATTTTTTCTTTTGGTAATGTTATTTTTCATAAAAATGAATTATTTCTGCTAATATCTAATGAGTTTATTATTTTAAAATAAAATAACTTTTAAAATTCTGTTTCAATTTTTAATACCATAAATATTGACACATATAATCTGCATAAACCAACACCCTTTGGGGTTTTGAGGTAAAAGGGTTCTGAAACCAAAAATTTTGAGAACTGCTGGCTTACACTATCCTAAGTATTATTATGTGAATCATCAAAATTAATCCTTAAAAGTAGGTAACACAATTATTCCATTTTTCAGAGGATGAAAGTGAGACATAGAGAGGTTAAGTGAATAGCCTGGCTAGGCATTGCTTAGCTGGTAGCTGAGTTCAAATATGAACCCAGGTGTCTGGTACTAGAGCTGTGTTTTATAAAACTACAAGTACTTTCAATATCCCAAAATAAGCCTGTAATATTTTTATTTCAGTCTTATTTCTAACTGGTGATGCACAGTATCTCCTTCAATTCTCATCAATTTGATGCTATTTTGCATATCAATCTTACATCTGACATGCATTCACATACATAAATACATGTATCATTTATTGCTGTAGCAAAATAAATAATGATGAAATAACTGGGTCATTGACAAATATAGGCAGTCTCTAAATTATGAATAAATTATACAAGTCTTCTTATCAAAGTTTCTTGAAACTTTGCATGTGTCTATAAAAGCAATGTTATAAGTCTTATTTAGGGTTGTTGGAACTTGCAGGTAACAAGATACTATAGTGAAGAGTCTCCCAAATATTCGTTATCTTAGTCGAGACTTTTCTGGCTATAAGCAATACAAACCCATTCAGATTACCTTAAGCCAAAAAGGAGACAAGGATGATTCATGGAAAAAGTGTGAGTAGGCCTCAAGAGATCCAGGAAACCGGAAACTGACATGAACTTGCTCTTGGAGTCTCTCTAGAGCTTTGGGACTTCTCCCCTTGCTTCTGTTTGTACATGTCTTTCATCCTTTTTTCTCTCTCCAGCATGGTTTCCTCTGCTTTTCTGTGCCTCTGGTGGAAGGTGTCCCACTCTACATGGAGCCCTACAAAGTTTACACATTGTCCCAGGTCTTTCAATGCCAACAAGCTCTCCAGCATGGTTTCCTCTGCTTTTCTGTGCCTCTGGTGGAAGGTGTCCCACTCTACATGAAGCCCTACAAAGTTTACACATTGTCCCAGGTCTTTCAATGCCAACAAGCATGGATTACCTCTGAGTTTCAGTCCCAGATTTCCAGAAGAGAAAATCAGATTGGCCAGGCTGGGGCTCAGTAATTAACATGCCTCTTCCTTGCCTGAGTTATGAAACAAATGAGAAAATAAAAATAATCTTGTCATCGGTGGAGCTGGTATTGGAAGATGAGGCTTAGGCACAAAAGCAGAGGGGACAGTGCACCCAGGGTACAATTGAGTCTGCAGGGCACATTCACTCACCCCCCTCGCTGTCTGCATTCTGCCCAGGGGAGAAGGAAGGTGAGAAGACCACGTGGTGAACTGTCAGTCTGTGGCAGGACTGACGCATTTATTATCACTATATCCTTCTTCCCTAAAATATGTACAGTAAAAGGGGCAAAAGTAAAAGGGGAGAAGGACATTCGTTTCATTGGCCTTCAGGTAACAGATGTTTTTAAATGATTGTGATATTTCTGTTTTAACTAAAAATGACTAAAAATTCATTTTGATTCTTATTTAGGATCTGGATCGAAATCTGAGCAGACTCACAGCTTCATTTGAAAAAGCAATAGCCGAGAAAGTCCGATGTCAAGAAGAGGTGAACCAAACAAACAAAACTATTAAACTAGCCAACAGACTTGTCAAGGAACTTGAGGCAAGTTAACTTTCTCTTCCAAAATTCTAAATAAAATATTCAGATTGCCCTTTTTGTATTTTCTTATTATTTGCTATCAGTAATAACTAAATGGAATTAGTAACAAAAGAGAATATTTGATCATCACTCATACTGTGGATCTTACTTACCAGAAGGAAGAAATGACCAAGGATGTATTTTTTAATATATAGCTTCACACTCAGCCTAGTGTGACGTCAGCCTAGTCTCCAACTAAAACATTGGGAAGACATATGTTTTGCCAGAATTTAGTTGTTTTATATCCACTTTAAGTCAGTGGAGTACATCAGCTGTGGATGGATTTTCTCTCCCTCCTTTTCTCCCTTCCCTCCTTTCTTACCACCTTGTGAAATCCTTTAAAAACAAAAATAAAGCACGATACATTTTCTTATGATATATTATAAAAGGCAGGACAGCTGTTAGATAAGTGTGATATTGATCTGTTGTCTGATCCTTTTATTTTTAAAATTTATTTATTTTTTGGTGGCTGGACGATACTGGGATCCAACCCTTGACCTTGGTGTTATCAACCAGCTGAGCTAACCTGCCAGCCCCCAGTCCTTCTAACATACATTTGCCACTGGATTACTTTCAAACTAAACTTAAGTTTATGTGTTTGTTGTTATATCTTTTTATAGGTGACTGACATGCCAATGTCAATAGTCACTTCATTAGATAAAAGGTTTTTTATAATTCTTATTAACTTTCTCCTGCTTAAATATGAGTGACAGAAGAACATATGGCCTTTGACATCAGTATTCACAGATTTTATTTGCTCTACCATGTGGCATTAAACAGTTTTGGGCAAATCTCTGAACCTCTTTAACTTTGTTTTCTTGTCTCTAAAATGGAGATGTGGATAATACCTACCTTACAGGGTCATGATGAAGCTCAGAAGAGATGATGTATATTTAGGTATTTCCTATCAAAAGTCAAAGAGATAAATAACCCAATTTAAAAATTGGCAAAGGATTTAAGTAGACATTTCTCCATAGAAAATATACAGATGGCCAATGAGCACATGAAAAGGTGCTCAACATCATTAGTCATTAGAGAAATGCAACCAAAACCACAGTGAGATACCACTTCACACCCACAGGGATGGCTGTACTCGAAAATAGTAACAATAATAGTGTTGGCAAAGATGCGGAGAAATTGGGATCCTTATACATTGCTGGTTGGAATGCAAAATGCTTTAGCCTCTTGGGAAAATAGTTCGGTAGTTCCCCAAAATGTTAAACATGAAGTTAACATGTAACCCA